TCATTTGCACGAGAAAGGGTCACGTGAAGACACTCCAGGAAGGTGGCCGTCTGCAAGCCAGGAAGAGAACCCTCACCAGAAACCAGCCCTAGTGGCACCTTGATCTTGGCCTTCCAGCCTCCAGAACTGTGAGAAAATGAGTGTCTGGTTTAGGTCCCCAGTGTTATGGTATTCTGCTGTGGCAGCCCAAGCACGCCAATACAAACGCCTACTGCATGCTAAGGCCTCTGCCTTTGGGAGCTGCAAAAGAGGATGCCTCCAGGGATCCGTGGCCTCCTTGGATTTTCCTGTTTGGGTTCTCCTCTTGGGTCTCCACAGGCAACATTTCTTCCTGGGACAATATGGGACAAAGTTGTGGCCTTCAAGAAGTCTTGAAGAAGGCAGCCCTCACCTTCCATGAGAGGCCACTGCCACTCCTTCCTGTTTCTCTTTCTCAGAGGTCTGTGCTTCCCTGAGGTGAGCGGGAGAAGGGTCATTCTCAGCTCCTGCAGCACAAGGTTTCTGCCACAAACAGACTCGTGTCCTAGATGGCTCCTGCCAGGCTAGGAGGGGGGGCGTGGGCCCTGAGCTTCCCAGCTCTTCCCCGTTCGCTGCATGAATGTGTTAAAATGCTTTGTCTTACTTAAAATAGAATTCCTAAAAGGCTCACACATGACTTCAAGTTTTTCCAGCATTATTGCAACTTTTTTTCCCCAAGAGTTAATTTTCAGAGGGGATTTGACACATTTTCTCTAAATAAGGAACTTTGTCCAAAGAGTGCTCAAGTTATTGAAAGAAACTTCCAGGAGCATAATTCTGAGTGGCAAAGGGGCAGTGAGAGTCCAGTTTATAGACACTAGGCTGGAGGTTGTCAACAAAGTGTGGGCGGTACCAGTCACTGTGACCCCCTGCTACAGGAAATGGTGCCCCTCAGAGGGCCTTTATGCCCTGCTGGGGAAGGGCGTCGGGCTTTGAGTGCCAGCCCAGCATGAACCAGAGGACTTTCATGGGCAAGCAGAGGTAGCTCCAACCACAAGGGCCACACTCTGAGAGCGCAGAGATATGTGAGAGTCAGAATTCAGGGAGGCAGCAAGATGGAAACCCGACCTATGGAGAGAGCCTGCCATCGGGTGGTGTATCCTCTTCTTGCTGTTCTTATCTTGCAACAATGTAAAGAAAGAGGAGCCAGGGGAAACTTGGAGAAGGGAGAACAACACGTTTTTCAACTGATAGCTCTATTTTCGTGCTGTGAATTAATAATTCATAGAGCATTACGAGTTAATAGCCACAAGGATTAAGAGCTCACAAATGGTATGTCTTTGGAATCTACAAGGGTCTGTGCAAGGAGCTGAAGTCAAACAACAACTGGATCAACTGGATTAGGACACTCAGAACCGTTCATTTTATGAACAGAATGTCCACAGCAGACATACAGACGGCCAACCCCAGATGAGAAACTCAGCCTTACTAAGCATTATAGAAAGGCAATTTAGAATGAGAGACTGTTTTGCCTCCCAGCCAGTGTCTAAGAGTTCCACCCAGAGCTTCCAGTTCAGAGACTGAAGTGAGTCCACATGTCTTCTTCCCTTCTGTTCAGAGGCCTATTGAAAGGGCAGTAAGGTGTACAAAAGGGAAGAAGCCCACAGCGGGGCTGAGGGCAGCAGGTGGGAATGTTGGTAAAGCTTTTGTTATAACTTTCTGGAAGATAGAAAGCAGACAGGATTGAACCGCTGAATAACTCAGACGGGGAAGCGGTATCTGAGGCATGAGAGAATGCTGACTGGAGAGAGAAAGCCATCTTCCAGGGAGGGGAGCTGTCTTCCTGGGGGCTCCAGTGGGGCACTGGACAGTTAATTCTATGCATCAGCTTGACTGAGCCAAGGGGTGCCCAGAGGACACAGTATTTCTGGGTGTGTCTGTGAGAGATTTTCTAGTTAGCATGTGAATTGGTGGACCCAGAAGGTAGATGACCCTCCCCATGGGTGGGCATCATCCAACCCACTGAGGACCTGACTGGAAGTACAGGTGAGGAAGGAGAAACATCCCCCTTGTGCTTCCTGCCTGCCTGCATGCCTGCCTGCCTGCCTGCTCGAGCTGGTTTCTTCTGCCCTTGGACTGAGATTTAGACAATCAGCTCTCCTGGTCCTCAGGCCTTCAGACTTGGACTGGAACTGTCTATCGGCATCCCCGGTCTCTAGCATGCAGACAGCAGATTTGGGACTTTTCAGCCTCCATAATCTTGTGAGCCAATTCCTCATCATACATTTCTTCATCTGTGTGGGGCTCTGTTCTCTGGAGAACCCTGACTAATGCAGGTGCCAAACTCAGAGTTGACAGAAAGGGAAAGGGGGAATGGCTGGTTCAGAATGGCCCCTTGGAGGCTCCCTGTGAGGCCACTGTGCCAGTGCCCACACTCACTCCCACCATCTTCCCACCACGAGTGGAGAGCCACTGCTGTGCACCAGTGATCTTCAGAGATGAGGCTGCTCTGTAAGAGAATTCAGCAACCCACCTGGGAAGACCCGGGTTCCTTGAGTGAGGGCTGGCGCTCCAGAATGAAGGTTCTTGCTTTGGCCTGGGAGGCTGCAGGAGTGGATGGGGAGCAGCTTCTCAGCCTGTTTTCTGCTCCTATGACCTGAAGTGACAGTGCGAGTCCTTATGTTTTGTCTGGCCACACGTACTCATAAATGTGAAGGAATAAGCAAGGACCACCAGAGCTTTTGAAAATCAGCCTTTCAGGAGGGCTGGAAGGCAAAGTTAAGAAAATATTCCAGAAGTGAACACAGAGAGGAAGGAAATCAGGGGAAAAAAGTGAAAAGACATCCAGCATCTTTTAGGCAGGAATTGCAGAAAGAACAGAGATGATTGGGGGGATAATTGATCCAGGATCAATTTAAGAAGTCTGGCAACCATCTGGCAGAAATTGCAAAAAGAACAGAAATGATTAGGGGGAAGAATTATCAAAGGAAAGACAAGAATTTCAGATTGGAAAGACCCACTGAGGACAGAGCAAAAGGAACAAAAAAGGACCCATGTACATTGTAATAAAATTTAGAACATGAAATATAAAGAGAAGCTTGTCAATGCTTGTAAGAGTAAAGACAGACACCCTAGAATAATAAGAGTTGACCTGGACTTGGTCTTCTTGTCAGTAACTTTGGATGCCCGAAGAGTAAACTAGCGGTGCTCTCAATGCCTTGGTAGTACAAGGGAGTGAGTCTTTTGTTTAGAATTATCAACCCAATTGAACCACTCGCCAAGCGTCAGGGCAAATAAGGAGTTTTTCAGAACTGCACTACTCAATTCTTCAGTAAATAATTATACAATTAGAATATCATAAAATGTTATAAAAAGTAATTATTGATCTATATTTTCAGAATTAATCTGTAGACAAAACAGTGCTTATCCATTTATTTTGAAAGATTACCTGTGTGTGCATCTCAGTAAGGTAAAAGAGGAGTCCAAGAAAGAGAAAGTTGTGGGATTCAAGAAGTATTAGAAATAAATTAAGGGTGTAATTAAAATAAAAAGGCAGGGTGGCAACTGTGGTACTTACTTGGGTGACAATGAGGCAAAATTAGGCCATTAAAAATTGTATGTTTGAGTAGCCTTTGTGTTGCCCATTCACTTTGGAAACTAGTGGATGTGGTGTCAAAAAAGGCACAAATTAAATGCTTTGCAGCTTTTTCCTGCCCTTACATTGAACATCTCTGGTGTAGGAGCTGCATAAGTAACAGTTCATGCTTTTATATTAATTTGTTTTCACTTGTGGTCTTGAGTCTGCCTGCGTCTTTTAACTAATTTTTGCCCAGGTGGAAGACATTTGCCTGAAGCATACACTGCTGCTGGCTCAGCACCATCTGGGAGCACAACGGTGACTTATGGAGGTCTTCGGTGAGAATTTTGAAAATATGACCTTCACAAGAGTTGCTTGGATCATTTAAAGTTCCCAGGAGCCTGAGGAGTACTGAAACAATTGACTTTGTATAATTCATAAATATACATTTATAACTGAGGATATGAATAAGTATTTTAATATGTATGGAAAAAAAATTGTATGCTTGACCGGGCTCGGTGGCTCAGCCTGTAATCCCACACTTTGGAAGGCTGAGGAGAGTGGATTGCCTGAGCCTGTGAGTTCGAGACCAGCCCTGGCAACTTGGCGAGACCTCGTCTCTACAATAAATCAAAAAATTAGCCAGGCATGGTAGCAAGCACCTGTAGTTCTGGCTACTTGGAAGGCTGAGGCAGAAGGATCGCCGGAGCCCAGCAGGTTGAGGCTGCGATGGCCATGAGCATGCCGCTGCACTCCAGCCTGGGCGACAGAGTGAGACTCCAACTCAAAAAAAAAAAATTGTATGTTTAAGAAGCTGGATAATCTTCATGATACAGTAGAGATGATATGTGTTTCTACTGTCAATTAGTTAAAAAATGAAATGCAATAGAAGCCCCAGAAAAAAAACAACAATCCTAATTCAAATAGGAAGTAACCTAAGTTAAAGACTAGTTTTGAGAAATGGATTAGGGTGAGAAAAGAGAATTAATTTTCTTTTGTGTGGCCTGAGGTTATTTTTTTCTTACTTGACTCTCTAGTAAATACTTTATATATATTCACAGCATTATAAAATCTGCTTATTGGTGTTCCATATTTAGAATCGATCTTTAGACAAAGCATGGAAGACTTAACTTTGGTTTCAGAATGGAATATACTTATCACCAACCCAGTAACTGTAAAGAAGAATGGTTGTGATGCAGAGGCTCGAAGGATCAAAGGCAGGAGGCAGGGCAGCGGGAGAAAGCAGAGCGCCGAGTCCTTGATTACACAGTCAGGAGTCGAGCGACTTGCAGTCCAAATCATGCAGGAGGAGAGACAGAGGCAGAAATGGGTGAGTTAGCCCAGATCCACGTGTGGCAGGAGTCAATGGACACCACTGAAAGCTGGTAAATCGGACACTTCTGGGTGGGACGCCAGTGTGGCACGGGACAGAGGCTGGCAGGGCCTGGCAGCTCCGGCGGCGACCATGGTGTACCACGGCCTCATGGTGCCCCTCATTGTGATGGTGCGTTCTGGGGCTTCGTTGGCTTCTTGGTGCCTTGGTTCATCCCTGAGGGCCCTAACCGGGGAGTTATCATCACCATGTTGGTGACCTGTTCAGTTTGCTGCTATCTCTTTTGGCTGATTGCAATTCTGGCCCAGCTCAACCCTCTCTTTGGACCACAGTTGAAAAATCAAACCATCTGGTATCTGAAGTACCATTGGCCTTGAGGAAGAAGACATGCTCTACGGTGCTCAGTCTTGGAGGTCACGAGAAGAGAATTCTTTCTAGATGGGAGGTCACCTCCATACCCTGACTACTTTTCTTGCCTTGCCTGTTTTGGGCGTCTGCTACCTTAAATGTTCATACCACGTTGAGTGTCTTATTCCACAATGCAGTGTTTCTTCCTTTGCCCTTTTCTACACTTCGATGTGCCTACGTATTCTAAACTGTACCTGCTCCACAAGATGGTGACGCCCTCTCCTGAGACAGGATGCTCTTCTGAGAAACATGCTGCTCTCTCCTCGGAATCTGGATTTGAAGATGGCTCCTGTCTCCTCACCACATGAGAGTCAGCGAAGTGTTTAAAAACTGCTACAAGACAAACATGCTCCAGTGTGCCAGTCAGGAAAGCATGCTCAGAGGACTGTCCCAGCAGAGACACCAAACTCTATTTTCAGGGTGAATTTCTTATTTCTGCCATCTTTTGGAATAAATTATTTTTCTGCTTTCTAAAAAAAAAGAAAGAAAGTATGCTGGTAAATCAAAAAACAGGCATTTGCATGTTGTTTAGTATTTTGTGGCAACCAATAAAGAACGGCAACCCTAACTGTTTAAAGTTGGCTACCATGGGGAGTAGGGCAGAGTGAGGAGGGGGAAGGAGACTTTCCATGGTGATCTGTACTGTCCAAATGTAATTTCCATCACATGTAAGAATTACTTTCAAAATAAAACTGGAAAGAATAAGGATATTACCAAGTGAAGAAAACACTGGTGAAGAGAAGAGAAGCTCTTAAATTTTGTTTGCAAGACAGAAATTGAATTGATCCAAACATTATTTTTATTTTTTATTTTTGTGAAGAGAGGGTCTTGCTATGTTGCCCAGGTTAGCATCAAACTTCTGGCCCCAAGCAACACCCTCACCTCAACCTCCCAAAGTGTTGGTATGACATGCGTGAGTCACTGCTCCAGTCCTGTGAGTGATTTTGAAGGTTAGTGACTCGTTGAAAACAATGGATGGGTTCTAGTGGCTTTTCTTTTCTTTTCTTTTTTTTTTTTGAGTTGGAGTCTCACTCTGTCGCCCAGGCTGGAGTGCAGTAGCAGGTTCACGGCCATCGCAGCCTTGACCTGCTGAGCTCAGGTGATCCTTTCGCCTCAGCCTTCCAAGTAGCTGGAACTACAGGCACACGCCACCATGCCCTGCTAATTTTTTAAAAAAATTTATTTGTTGTAGAGTTGAGGTCTCTCTCGCCAAGTTGCCCAGGCTGGTCTTGAACCTGTGGGCTCAGGCAATCCTCTCACCTCAGCCTCCTAAAGTCCTGGGATTATAGGCGTGAGCCACTGTGCCTGGCCTGATCCAAACATTTTAAAGGGCAATTTTGTAATAACAAAAAGAACCAGGGTCATCGTCTAATAATAACATTGTGTAAGTTTCCAGTCTACTTGAATGACATTGAATAGTAGCTGGAAACCAACTGAAGAGGAGGCAAAAGACAACACAGAGAGCTCCTTTACTGCACGTGAGCATGAACATGCACACACAGGCTCACGCCCGCACACGGCTCCCATGTTGACTCACTAGGATGGAAACATCAGTCATCCAGGTTTGTAGAGTCCTCCCATCTCTAGCTTGTACTCTCTGCTGTGATCCTTACATGGACAGCTGTTTCTGGTGGTTTCTCCATCCTCACATGACTCATCCTGGTTTACTTTTGTGGAAGCGATGCACTTAGGAGCTGGGACTTTTCCCTCCTCCCAGACTCTGAGGCTAGCCACAGTGTTCCAAAGCCCTGGGTGCCAGCCAGCAACTTGGAGACACGCCCTCGAGGCTGTATATCCTCTACTTGTGGTCACTCAGAAGAGGCCCAGTCGATGTTCTGAGCATGGTCAGCCTGGTAGAGAGGCGATCCTCGTGGCCTGCCATGCGCACTTGCCCTGTGCCACCTCCAACGTGATGGGAAAGAGGATATCGCCTTTAGACAGGCTCAACAGTGGCCATCCAACTCAACTAGAGCAAGAAACTGGGTTCTTCCGAGATTTGATGGTGAGACTCCTGAGAAATGCCTATAGTGAAGTATGTTTTGCTAGAGAATAATAGTTGAAACATAATCACCACAACAGCCCTGAAATCTCCATTTTAGATGAGAAGACTGATGCTCAGTGATGATGAGGCATTGTCCATGATCGTTCACCTAGAAAGTAGTCAAGCAGGGATTAAGATTCAGATCTTACAATCCCCAATCTTGTATTTTTCACACTACTTTGGGAGACCTTTTTGAGGATGTCTTTTCTTAGTGTTAGACAAGAAACTCTTTACTCCACTTTAGAGTTTCATAGAAAACCCTGTTCTGAATGCTGATGTCCAGCATCTCACTTTGTTGGGCTTTGGATTGAATCCTAAGTTTGGTACTTAACAGCTGTGTGCCTTTGGTCAAATTTACACATCTCTGGGTTTCAGTTTGTTCATCTATAAGCTGAAGGTAATAATACTTATCTCCAGTAAAATCTCATCAGGATTGTTGTGAGGTTTAGGTGAGATAATACACATCAAGCACTAATTAGGGGCTCAAAATGGTAATGCTGGTGGTGGTTGTGAAGATAATTATTTTGAAATATGTTGGACACATTAAACAGCTCATCCAATCTTCTTCCTCATACGGGTTCCCTTAACTGCTCTTCGGTCCTTTCAGATGTCAACTCATCTTCAGAATAGTAAATGAAAAAGTAACTGATCATGCGACTTTGTAAAGATAGCAAAACTTGAGCTATCAAACTCTCTTGCCAAAAACAACTGTAGAAGTATTCAGTGTGTATATCCGACAGTGTTCAGTGTGGCTATATCAGTCGGATGATCGCAAGCCCCATTCTTTTTTGTCCACAAGAAGTGTTTCCTGAAGGAGTGGCAGTGGTGTGCACAGTGCATGGGATCATTTTCCAATGAGATAGCATCCTTTCTATCAGGGAAAGAGGCATTGGCTCTCCAGTATCACAGTTGTTCAGAGAAGTATGTACCATTTGTACTTGGCAAATTCGTGCTTACCAAGCTATACAAACAAGCAGAGGCTATTAATAACAGCATTTGCACTCTGGAGAAAAAGAATGCCAGACAAAACCTTGGGCTTTGGTTATCTTCAAAGCAGGGTAAATAGAAGGCTGGGAGGAACGAAGGTACCTTGTCTGCAGTAAGAGGACTGTCATGCTGGCTCCAGATAGCAAAGGGATGGAAAGTGAAGTCATCTCCTGTAAGCGGGGAAGTCCATGAAGACACCAAACACAGACACAGGGAGGGAGATGAGCAGAAAAGGTACATGTGTATAAGGGAAGACAGGTGCCCTTTGCTTATGAAGCAACCACACCCAAACGTGTATATGTTGTAAACCTAGGGTCCCCTGTGAGGCTCACAGAGGGGCCAAGATTATGAGAAAACATAGCTTTTTCTTAAGAACTCATGCCTCCCAAACAAGGGTTCTCTGACCCTAAATGTGAATAATGCAAAAGTTGGAAAGCCCTCACTTAGAGTTATCTTCCTCCACAACAAATGGCTCAACCATTAAACAGCATGGCCAGCTGAATGAAAAAACACTATAGGTGAGAATAGAGACTTCTGCTAGAAACAGAACACATCATGCAATGAATAAAACCTTGCAAATGAGACATCATAACTTTTTCTTACAAACCCTTTACCCTAAACTTTTCAAGTATGAAGAAATAATAATTTAATAGAACCATATTTTTTATAAGTTCTACGAAATTTTGAAGTGTCGTTATTACAACTTTTAAACATACGTATTGTTATTCTTTATAGTTTATAAATCACAGGAAGAATCTTATTTAATATTTATAATTTGATATAATTGTCTCAATTTTGTAGACTGAATTTAAATTTCAATGTTTTTTGTTCATCAACTATGTGTCGGGTACTGTACTAGGCACTGGACTTGATAGATTAAAAACTTTGTCTTAAGAAGTTCAAAATATCCTGGGGGACACAGACATGTCACAGATATAATAACAGAAATATAAACACAGGCATGGGAGAATGGGGGAGGGAACAACCCATTTGCCTAAGGCAAAAACTAGCATCTGTCAGATCTGGAACTTGACTTAAATTCTTCTGAGTCTCAAGTGAGTCCTCTGTCCTGGCATAACAATATAACTTTAGCTTTTCCAGAGGAATAAAAACAAAACTGAAAAATATTCACTCAAAAAACCCACGTATAAATTACCAAGTGGGCAAAGTATCAAAACACTGTGGAAACTGCGGTCAGGTCGAGGCTGTCAAAGGGCAGATAAGGCCTGCCCAACGGAACAGCAGAGGCCTCTGGTTTCACACCCACCATGGACTGCTCTTGGGATCTGATCTTTATGCCAAGACCCTCACCCCCGGAATCATCTGACTTTGTGTTGGAGGAGCAGGAAGTGTGAGAGTCTGTGGTTGGGCTCAGTTCCTTCCAGAGTGCCCAGGTTCCCTCCCCGGCTGTGAAGAGGGTGGGAGGAATTCTCCATTTAGGGAGTTGGCTTTAATGGAGTGGGGGAGCTGCTTGACAACAGGGAGGTCAGCCTGAGGGCAGACACAACAAATGGCGGCCGGTTCCTCTGGTCCGCTCCTTCCCGCCCCGCTTCCTCCCAAAGTTGGGTGGAAGCATGAAGCTGCACTTCACCCGCAGTCACTCGTTCTGATGACAAACAAGTAGCATTTCCCAGCTGTTGGTTTTTCCTTTCCAGAAGACATGCCTTTGCCTCTGGACTTGTTTGATGGCTGGAAGACCAGGGTGCCTTCAGCAGCACCAGCTGCCATGGGGGAGGGAGGTCTGCAGGAGCGGGCCTGTGACTGAAACTCAGGGCCCAGGTCACTCCCTCTGTCCTATAGGCAGGAATGGGAGCCACGGGATCCGCGCCAGTGACACAGAGTACTCATGTTTTCCCACTCAGCCAGGGCTTTGTCCCAAGGGAAGGAAGCAAGAGGTAAACACGAAACCTGATTTGCCTGTGTCATGTGGAACCACAAACTCTTGATATCAGAGCCACTCCCTACCTCCCCACCACTTTTCCCAGGAGGCCATGTTTATTCTGTCCAGTGCCTGCCATCAGGCCACAGCTATACTAGATGGGACCAGAGTAGACACCTGACACAGGCTGGGCCGAGCACATCCTCTCTCCTGGGAACAGTGCCTCAGAGACGCTGGACGTGCCAAAATGGAG